TAAATCTAACAGAAATAGCTTGAGAACTTTACTTGGAAAATTATTTAGAGAAACGTAAAAAGACCTTAAAAAGTGGAGGCATATATTATGTTAATGAGCTGGAAATCTTAATATTACATCAACTTTCCCAATTTGATCTATAGATTGATCTATAGTTGATCTATAGATTCAGTATAATCCCAATCAAAATTTTAGCAGCTTGTGTTTATGTGTGTGTGTGTGTGAATTGACAGGTCAATTCTAAAATTTATATGGAAATTCAGGTTCAAGAATAGCAAAAACAATCTTGAGTCAAATGAATAAAACTGGAAGATTTACACCATTAAATATAGACATTTTAAAACTGCAAAAATGAACACAAAATGGTATTTACACAAGAGCAGGCAAATAGGCTAAGAGTAAAGTTCAGATACTCTTTTTAAAAAAAAAAAAAGATTTCTCTAAGGGCGCCTGGGTGGCTCAGTGGGTTAAGCCTCTGCCTTCGGCTCGGGTCATGATCTCAGGGTCCTGGGATCGAGCCCTGCATCGGGCTCTCTGTTCAGGGGGAAGCCTGCTTCCCCCTCTCTACCTGCCTGCCTCCGCTCTGCCTACTTGTGATATCTCTCTGTCAAATAAATTTAAAAAAAAAAAAGATTTCTCTATTTATTTGAGAGAGAGAGAGCATGAGGAGAGGCAGAGGGAGAGGGAAAGAGAATCTGAAGCAGACTCCATATTTATAAAAATGATGGGATGCTTGGGTGGCTTAGTCAGTTACATGTCTGTCTTTGACTCAGGTCATGATCCCAGGGCCCCAGGATTGAGACCCACATGGGGCTCCCTGCTCAGTGGAGAGCATAATAAAGATGCTTACATATACAACTTTCTTAGAATATGTTCCTAGAACTGGTTTGCCTAGGGGAAGCATGCATACAATAAAAATTGTGTAAATATCACCTAACAACATTATTCTCAAAGAACGAGAGGGACTCAGGAATTCACACATATGTATATGTTTTCCAAACACAAGACTTGATCCATAGAGGACAGTGAAAGCAATCTATGGATTGCTAATCAGTATTTAAAAAAAAAAAAGAATAGAATAGAACAAGGAAATATGAGCCTGCATTGTTCATAGTTTGGTGAAACTTTTGTATCTGCTGTGTTTCTGTACTGTTTCATGAAGCAATATGAGTATTTTGCCACAAGCTTATAGAAAAAAACGTGTTTTTTTTTTCTTTTTTAAGATTTTATTTATTTATTTGACAGAGAGATCACAAGTAGGCAGAGAGGCAGGCAGAGAGAGAGAGAGAGAAGCAGGCTCCCTGCTGAGCAGAGAGCCCGATGCAGGGCTCAAAGGCAAAGGCAGAGGCTTAACCCACTGAGTCACCCAGGCGCCCCTAGAAAAAACATTTTTAAAATGTTCCTGTAGATGAGCTCTTCAGGCATGCCTTCTGGTTTCCAACACTCATTTTTTTATTTCCTTTTCTTGTTAACTGCCTTGATAAGAAGTTTTATAACCGTAATAAATTGCAGCAGGGATGGCAACATTCCTGATTTGCTTCCGACCTAAATGTAAATGCATCCCGTGAAGTTTCGAAAAGGAGAATTTTCACCGTAGTTAATATCTAGTGCATCAGTGAAAGTCTCATTTCCTCTTTACATCAAGTTACGTAAGGGGTTTCTTTTTCATTTATAAGCAGTTGGGTTTATATTTAGTTAACTGTTATGATTAATCCCTAATTTTATTGCCTGAGGTCAGATAATATGCATGGTGGCCTATAAAATTTCTGCTTTTTGGAAGTTATTGAGATTTTCTTTGTGGACTGGAATGCGATCAACTTTTCTCTTCAGTTTGATAATACTGAATATTCTGTAATAGTAAAATTTTCAATATCTCTTGAATCCAGTGTATTAGTAACGTTCAAATCCTCTATATCTTTAAATAAAACAAGATGAAATCAGAGAGGGAGACAAACTATAAGACACTCAATCATAGGAAACAAACAGGGTTGCTGGAGGGGAAGGGAGTGTGGGTTGGGTAACTAGGTGATGGACATTGGGGAGGGTATGTGTTGTAATGAGCACTGGGTATTACATAAGACTGATGAATCATTGACCTCTACCTCTGAAACTAATAATACATTAAATGTTAATTAATTGAATTTAAATTTAAAAAATTCAAATCTTCTATATCTTTATGTAGCTATATTTTATATATCATTTATTCTTTATTTCTTAAGTTGTCATTAAAATCTTCCACCAAGATTGCAAATTTGTAAGACTACTGTGTGTGTGTTGTTTGGGACTTCATCAAGATCAAAAGCTTCTCCACAGCAAAGGAAACAGTCAACAAAACAAAGAGGCAACACATGGAATGGGAGAAGATATTTGCAATTGACAATACAGACTAAGGGTTGATATCCAAGATCTACTCAAACTCAACACAGACAAAACAGATAATCACATCAAAAAATGGGCAGAAGACATAAACAGACACTTCTCCAAAGAAGACATACAAATGGCTAACAGACACATGAAAAATATTCATCATCATTAGCCATCAGGGAGATTCAAATCAAAACCATTGAGATACCACCTTACACCAGTTAGAATGTATGTTAATGATATGTAAACAATCTTACCCATTCTTATTATTTATTTTTATTGAGATAAAATTATATCAAAATTGTATTTTTTCAGGTATACAACAAAATCATTTGACATATATATGGTGAAATAATTATCACACTTGATCTTAGCCAAAAGGCCGAGAAACAATATGAAATAATTATCACAATAAGTCTAGTTAACGTTCCCTACCACACATAGTCATAAATTATTCTTTCTTATGATGAGAACTTTTAAGATCTCCCCTCTTAACAAGCATACACCTTCTTAACTGTTAATGTGGATTTATAGCTATTTCAGGTTTTTGAGACTACCTTTGGGGTGTTTTTTTGGTTCAGAGGGTGGGTTTCATCTACTCTTTTATATCTAAAATTTCTGTGTCATTTTATATCAAGTGTAAATTTTTAAAGTATTTTATAGTTGGATTTTGTTTGTTTCATCTTCACATTCTTTCAGAGCTTAATCCATTCACATTTATTTTGAAACAAGTATAGTTGGTTTTCTCTTGTATTGATTTCAGATTTTATTGTTTTTTTTTCTAATGGTTACTCTAGACATACCAACATGCATCTTTAGCTTTTTCACATTCTACCCTGAAATAATACTATATTACTTCACAATGAAATTAGAGTTTTTAAATTTTATAATGCCATTTATCCACTTATACATTCTTCATATTCTTATTGTCATCTATTTTACTTATGCATATATTGTAAATCCCATAATATATTGTTTTTAATTTTGCTTTGAATAGTCAATAATCTCTTAAAGAAATTTCTTATATGTTTACCCTTTCTGGCCAACATTTGTGTCATCTGTGGACCTTGTTCTGTTGAATATTTTTCTCTTGATTAGGAGGCACATTTTATTACTTCTTAGTACATCTCATGATTTTTTATTATATGCCAAACATTATGTGAAAAAGAACAGTAGAGGGTGTAACAAATGGTATTTCCCCTGAGAAAAATTCATGCCTCTTCCTATGTTAGGCCTTTAGGGTGGAGGCTAAGTCAATCTAATCTGTAGTTGAACTTGGTCTGGGGGATTTTGAAGCTTTAGTTAGATTTACTTTGCCACTAGTTTCAAATGTCATGAGGGAAGATAACGATTATCCCTTTATCAGTCCATGGAATTTGTCCAGTGGAGAACTCTCTGGTCTTTACATGGAAAGTTTACGTTGCCTACTTTTTGAATCACTGAGTTCTTTTTCTCTCCAACATTGTCCTCAGCTTTCTGCAGCTTGGAAGATCCCTCTCCCCTCTGATGTTCTGTCCTCAGCCTCTGATGAGCTATTGCCTTGCACCTCATTTTAAACTTCATATGTTACACTTTTTTCCCCAAAGGTCTCCTCCCACTAGACTAGATTCCTGAATGCTCTAGGATAGAGACCCTGACTGACACATTTTTGTATCCGCTATGTCTTACCACAGTGACTAGTTCATAGTAGGTGCCCAGTAATAGTCAACGAACTTAAACTGAGACTTGCTCATCCCTCTCCTGCCCTATATTTCGATAATAAGGTTGGGTATCTCTTCCTCAGAGCAAATACTTCTACTTGTCCAGGAGTCTGGGGCAGTGAAGCTGAGGCTGTAGTAACTCCTAACATCTGAATGCCCTTAATTCTTTTACTTTGTTTTGGGGTGCTGGGTGGCTCAGTCAGTTTGGCCTCTGACTCTTGATTTCGGCTCAGGTCATGATCTCAGGCTCATGGGATCAAGCCCCATGCCCAGCTCTGTGCTCAACATGGAGTCTGCTTGTCCCTCTCCCTCTGCTCTTCCCCACCTTCTCCTCTCCCCCCACCCTGCTTGTGTGCTGTCTCCATCTGAAATAAACAAATAAAATCTTTAAAAAAAATTATTTTCCTTCATTTTGGGAGAGGCAAAGACATGTATGTCTCAGATCCTTGCTTTAATTCAGTGATTTTTAGGCTTGCTAATTTGGTGTGGTATTTCTAAGTCCAGTTAGATTACAGAAATATTTATTTTTTTATTCCAGAACTAATCAGATACTACCTAATACTTGATTTTAGAATAGACAAAGACACACTAGAAGACTGAGCAGTTATGAAAAAATTCTATGGAAAAAAGTTTTAATTGAGAGCTTTCTGTGTATGAATTCATTTTGTTTCAAGTTGGGAAAGACCAACATTAACCAATTTTTGCTGGTCCCTGTTATGGGACACCCGTGTCCCATAGGAACGACATTTGAGAACCTCTGCTCCAGTTAAACAAAATTGCAGTTAAATATGCCACTTATCAGCAGTAAGTTCTTTTATTTCATGAAAATGAACCAAGATTTTATTTTGACTAATGGTGTTTGCTTCCTGAAATAAGCTCAAAAATCTACCTTAATTATTAAAGAAAATAACCATTTACCATCTTTTTCCTTCTTAGGCTGTGAAGTGGAGATTCTTGGGGTCAGGCCTACTTACTGCCTAGAATATAAAAACGTCCCGACAGATACCAATTTTGCCAATGCTGTGAGCGATGCTCTTGACTCCCTCAAGTAAGTGTTCCAAAGTTTCAGCCAATCATTGTTCTTCATTATTTCCAGGACCACTAATGAATGCTAAAGTGAATTAAGAAGGTTTGGTACAGGTGGAGTAATATCTCCAAGAGGTGGTTAACCTCTTGCATGTTGACTGTTAACTGCTACCAGAGAGTAATTGTGAGTGAGCCCTTTTAGGTAGGGGCACTCTTCATAAATGTTGAATCAAGAGCAAGAAAGTCCGAAAGGGTTTGAAACTTTCTTCTTTACATTGACGGACCATAGAGAAGCAATATGAAGGTCAACATCTCTCTAATTAAGATTTAGGGAATGCTTGAATTTCAGAAAATGTCATTATTTGGTTAAAAGGGTGGCTCTTTGGGGAAGTAAATTTGAAAAAATTGCCTGCTCTCCCCACTTCTTGGCAATGTGTGAAACACGTTAGCGCATTAGAAGATAGAACCTTTTATTCCTCCCACATGGAACAATGACACAGAGCTTTAAAAATGCAGAAATCATTAATGGTGTCTAAAATAGCACACAAGAGTCTGTCAGAGAATCTGATCAACAAGAAAGGTCAGGAGAAAGCCTCAAGGCAGTCTCAGACGTCACTAGATGTGGAAGTCAAGATGGGAGACCAGGTGGGCTGTACCTGAGTAATCAGCAACCAAGAGGCCATGGATGTTGGGAGCTCTCTCATTTCCAGGACTGGATTTGCAGTCGCCTTGGCTGCTGAGTGGGTCTCCTGGGTAGCATCAAGGCAGAAGACCCATAGCATTCAGTTTGGACACCAGGCAGGGACCGTTATCCTCTGAGGAGAAAGAGCCTGGTTTTCAAGCTGGGCAGACTCCAAGGGCCACCATATCCTAGGCACTGCGTACAACTCACCAGCAGAAACTGCATGAATTGGCCCATAGCTGAGATTGCCCCAGGTATAGAACTGACCAGTTATGAATCCCATTCTTGCCATCACCACCCCAAACATTGCAGGGAGCACCAGTCACCCCCACAGAACTGTACAAGGAGAAAACAACACCCCTCCCTTCACTGCTTCTTAGAATAATTCTACTTCCATGAAACCTACCAAGGGGGGTTGCTTTGAGGCACAGGGAGGTTTAGGCTCTGACAGATTGGAGAAAAAATAGGTTTGAAATACTTTAAAACTGAGATGTAACAAAGTTTAAAGTTTAGATTTTTTTTTTTTTTCCTGGAGGGAAGAGGGAAGGGACAGGGTCTGGAATGAACTTTAAATAAATATTATTAACTATTGAATAAATATTCTTCAACATATGGTTTGTAAATCATGTGTGTTATATGATCCTGCCTCCTACCTACTCTGCTTTCTTTTCCTTGCCCACAAGTGCTAGAAAACCACACACACATGTGATGGCCTGGAATATCATGTTTCAAACTAGTTTGTGCAAAGCAGCAGGGTACTACACGCACAGCAGATGAGCAGAGCTCGAATTCTGGAATAGCTCTGTGTCCATACAGTGCTGTTTCCAACATATCCAAAAAGCTGGCCACCCCTACAGACTGTGGCCACGCTAAATATGAACATTTAGAACATTGTCATGCAGATACCTCCAAAGAACCCAGCACTCTGGGAGTGTAATCATTTTCACATTCATCTTGCCTTGACAGCCAAATGGTCCCTCACTGTATCCAGCCCAGTGATTCAGCAGGTGGGGAGGTACACAGACCTAGCAGGCTCAGGTTAGCCAGTGCCCGCTAGCTCGTCCATCCAAGCAGGCTTCCTCGTCCTGAGGCATCGTGGCATGCTGGAGGAACGAGTGCTGGGCTCTGGCTCCTAGAGAAAGTTCTGCTTCTCTGTTTCTAGAGATGTTTTACTTTTTCCCTTTTCAAGCAACATGGCAAAGCTCTGGAACACTGGGGAACAACATCTTTACCTTAGAGCACAGCATTTAGAAAGGGGAAGGATTAAGTGGTGTGTGTGTGTGTGTGTGTGTGTGTGTGTGTGTGTGTGTGTTTAGCAAAGGCATTGGGCTCCCCTGGACAGAAAAGGCTACCAAGAACTGCAGGCCCAAGAAGCTGGCCCTGGGCTAGGCCTCTACCTGGTATGACCTGATGCCAGCCACCACATTGTTCAATTGGCACCATTCACACTGTAGTCTACATGAAAGGCCTTGAACTCCAGGGGATGGCATTCCCGTGATCTACCAGGGAACGATGCTTCTGCAGTTGGGCAGTGAAGGCCTAGGCAGGATGGAATCAGGCCAGTGCAATTGTCTTGTGGGGTCTTCATACTGTCAAAGTTAACAGGGTCACCAGAAAGGGCCCCTGTGAATAGTGGTTGGAAAGCTGGAGAACCACCATTTCTAAAACTAGTCAGGGTTTGAAATGAGACAGAGAGAAAAAAGGAAGAAAGACAATAGGCCAGATGATACCTATTGCCTGTGGAAAGCAGTAAGATGAGCTAGGCTCTCTTGCAAAGAAAAAGAAGGAACCTTCTTTAATCAACCTATGCAGATTGATTGACTGATTGATTTAGAGCAGGTACATGAGGGGTAGAGGGAGAGGGAGAGAGAGAATCTTAAGCAGGTTCCATGGAGCCCGACGTGGGGCTTGATCACACGACCCTGAGATCATGACCTGAGCTGAAACCAAGAGTCCGACCTTAGCTGACTGAGCCATCCAAGCGCTCCTAACCTATGTGTTTTCAGAACATGTCTCATTACCTTCTCACAAAGTAGAAGAAAGGATTGACACTGGTGGGCCAACACAGCTAAGACCACTTTACATATAGCAACTTTTTCGTGTAAGAATGCAACTCAAAGGAATAATGAATTCTTTTGCTCTGTGTGTTAGGCAAAGACATATTAACTATTTATCTTTCCATCAGATGGCCTGTGAACTAGGAGCAAACTTTGGACTCCATAGCTTACCTCTTGGTTTCTGCTCAGCTCTGTCTCATAATTCCTAGCTATCATTTGAAGAGTGCTTAGAGTTCACACGAGTGTGCAAACACGGGCACACACGCATTTTTCCTGATCAGTACTGCTTTCGGAGTGTCTCTGTCTGCTCTGCTCTTAGTCTGAGAGGCAGAGAGAATGGGATAGAGGATAGATACGTTTTTACAGAAGGCAGTTAAGACTGACCTACGGACAGCATTTCAGCAAAGGGTCCAGCTCAGCGAAGAGGCAGCACGGTTCTGTAGGAAGGGCGAGTCCCATTTCCATGTTTGATCTGGACATTGCCTTCCAGGCCTCATAAAGCTTTATTGACCCAAGTCATATCCACAGTAGATGCTACTTCAGCACCTAGACAACCTCTAGCCTAGAGGGAAGGAGAAGGTGAAGAGAATTCATGTATTCAGCACCCACCGGCTAGCATTGTGTCAAAGGCGCCATTGCTGTTGACCCGTTCCGCTGTCACATCTACTGGACTTCTCAGGTGTGGTCTTCCCCCTCTTACAAAGAGCCCGCTGACTCTCCCAAAGTTACATTCACTGCCTTGGGTCACCCACAGCTAGCAGGTGGTGGAGCCGGAGCCCAGGTCTGAGCGAGAAGTGTCTGGACGTTTCAGAGTCAAGTAGCAGCTCTTCTTCTGGTCTGCACCCATACCTCTGACGTGCCCCAAAACCCAATCAGATGGAGAGGCTGGAGAGGATGGCTCCTTCCAAGTCACCCCTGTGGGGCTGTCCTGGGTCCAGGGCTCACGAGGGCCTGAGGTGGACTGGCAGCCATTGTGGTCTGCCTGCTGTTTGCCATGTCCAGCAGTACACGGCCTCGGTCACAGGCGTGTTAGGTGCCATGACCCCACACACGGGGACAGCGAAGTGATTCCCCCACCCAAACAGCCACAACAGGAAGCTGTTTGCCATCACATCACTTAGAACTTCCTCCTGGAAGTTCTGTTTGTAGGCTAGTCATGCTTTGGCAAGCAGGAAAAGGGGCATGAGTAGCTCATCTGGGGGTTACAGGGTGTGGGGGCAGCCACAGGCAGCCCTGACGTCCCGGAGGGGCCAGGAGACTGCCCCTAGGAGAAACCTGATGCAGCCTCTTGAAAGGATTCGTCAAGTAACAACTGGGCCATGGGGGCAGTGGACATAGCCCCCATCCATTGTCAAGCTCCAGGCTACGGAAAACAGCTCCAGAGGAATTCCATTAGGATCTCAGAACGTCAGTGGCTGCTGGTGACCATAAAAGAACGGACGGATGATGAGACGGTTCTTTCCACAGACCACAGGGCAACTGGTGCAAATGTCCTGGCCTTTGTCCCTCGTCCTCGTGGACTCTAAGGGAAGGGGCTCAGCATATAGGCTGACATCATCTGGCTGCATCTGGAAGGAAGAGAGAAATGGAAGTCATCCCCTTCCCTTTGCCTCCCTGTTGCTGTGTGTCAAGCACTTTACAGACATCAGCTTGTTTCATACCCAGTGTAGTCCTCTGTGGAGGTCTTTCACATGGCACATCGAGGCTTCCAGATATTTCTGCTGTCCTCGAGACCACCCGCATAGCAAGGTTCCCATCTTTGAGCCCAGATATGTGTAATTCCAATGCCCTATCAAAGTGTTATCTTCAAAACTAACTTCTGTCATATGCTCAGTACATATGTATATGAGAATTATGCCCAAGTTCAAATCACTTTATTTTTGAGGGGACCCAGGGATGACCTGGCTGCTTGAATGGAGAATGTGATAAGCACACGTGTGAAGGAAAAGAATGATAGAGGATGATGGCATACGATTATCATGAAAAGCCAAAAATGCTTCCCAACTTAGAGGATAACCAGACCATGATCTTTGAGACTGCTTTCTCCATCAGGGAAAATAACCTTCATCTTACTGGCTTCCTACAGATGAACAGCTAAATTTACACAGTCCGGGCTCGAGTGGGTCATAAAATCTGGTGACCCATACGTAAGTTTATTAGACACCTGTCTTTTAGGACACGGGCATGACAGGCAGCTGTTTTGGGGGCCTAATTTCTAAGTTTTGGATCATTTTTCTTAACAGCTGACAACTTCAACCATCCCTTTGAATTGCCCCCCATTTCTCTCTCCCTAAGTCTTCTCTTTCCAACTCACTTCAGTCAGGAAAATGGATGTGAGGTTATGAACTTTTACACTGAAAAGAGATCTGGACAGCATCTTAAGATGATGGGGGACCTGGGTGTCTCTGAGACCCTAGGGCTGGGGGCTCCTTGCAGCTCTCAAGTACTGGGCCGACAGCCACATGTCCTTAGGCTCGGTTCCTGGACCCCCTAAAGCTATAAATTATGAAGGGCCAACAAGAGGTCTGCAGGCATTTCCACCCATCACTCCTCACCCAACTGCTCCATTACAAATGAGCTGACCCGTGTTGGAGACCAGATCCATGTGGAAAACAGGCCGACCAAGAGTCTGTGCGCTAAACTACAAACAGGCAAGAGCTCTCAGCCCTCGAAGACTTGGGTCCCTAATGAATCAACGGAGCTCCAACCTGGAAATCTTTTCCAAAGGCGCCCGCATAAATCCCTGACTCGCCCGCATCCAAACTCCAGTGTTCCTGGCACCTGGGGTCGACAGCTCCTTCAAAGGAAGTCATCAGGTGAATCTGTGACATTGGCTTCCCGATCACACAGAGATTTGTGGGTACGGCACAGAGCCTGCAGGAGACTAGCCAAGGGTCTGCTGCGTTCAGGGGAAGTGCAGTGACCTAAAAGCATGTCATTGAAATCGAAAGCAACTGTCAGCCCGTTTGTGCAACTTTCCCCCGTGCAAGCCCCACCCTGGAAGCGCACACACTTGAACCCGGGATACCCTGTGTGAACCTGCACATCTGGGCAGCTACACATGCAAGTGCATAAAGCATGTAAAGGCTGAGGCTCATCTGAGAGCGAGATTTTCTGGAAGGTTGCATCACGTCCATTAGTTTATCCATGTAACCAACACGGGCCTCACAGCAGTTTAGGGATGTGATGCAAGTGCCATTTCCTGGCGAGACATTTTATCCGCCGCCCACACCCTTGCGGGCCTTGCGGTGACTTTTTGTTCTCTGCCATCTATAGATGGGTGAGTCATTCACACTTTCGCGAGTATGAATAATGATAATATCACTTTTGAAAAACACCTGACCCGGTCCCGGTTGCGGAGGAGGGTGGTAATGGTATTTGTTAAGGAAGGGCCGGTTTGCTGTGTTCTAAGAAAAGAAAACACCCGACCAGAAATTTCACTTAACTTGAAACGAATGTCCCCTCAAACACATAAATGAAGTGCCCCTCAGGGAAAGCGTAGAACGTCACAGCATCATTAAAGGGCATGCCCTCGTGGCAAGCAGGACCATAATGAAGGAAGATGCTAGGTGCGATATTGTCTGAAAACCGTCCCCTGTGTAGTGAAAGGAGTAGACACGAACTTTCAAAAGCCTGGGCTGGTAGAATGTTCTGATCTTGGAGATGCACATTTCCAGGTCTAGCTATGTCTCTGTGAGGCCTTGAGTAAGTCCTAGAACCCTTTCTGGCCTATTTCCCCATCTGCAAAATGTACAGATGCGTTTCCGGAGGGACGATTCACATAGTAGTTCCGGAAATCTGAGACAATCCAACCCACAGACATGGCGCATTATCCATCAAGAAGGGTGAAATTCTTATAAGACAGTAAGGACCATTTCCACAAGAAGAATAAGCCGAAATGCTGCTCCATTAGGGTGGGCCGTTGAGTTCTTAGTGGTTGTGGTCCAGGTTTTGTAGTCAGCCCAATGCGGGTTTGAGTCCTAGTTCCATCTCTCCCTGGCTGTGTAATGCAGGCAACTGTACTGAGCTCTCTGTTCAATGCATTCCTATCCTAAACGGTTGCTGTGAGGATTAAATAATGAAGGAAAAGCCTTCAACATAGTGCCTGACCAAGAGGAACTGTCATTTATTGAGCACTTACTATTAGTAGACTTTCAACTGTTATAGAGCACCAACTGTATGCCAAATGCAGTAGGCTACAACTGAGCTACAATAGAGCATGAATCGCCCTCCCCCCAAAGAGCTTCACAGCTTAGAGTCATCAAGAGGCAACTACAGCCCAGCATGGAAGAGCGTTTACCAGGAGATGAGTCTGGAGAGCCGCAGGGGCACCCGGGGGGGCTACCCAGCTGAGCCTGGGGCACCAGAGCCAGCTTCCTGGGAGAGGCACCATCTCCCCTGAGACCTGGAGGAGGCGTGGGAGCTGTTTTTAACTCTGGCCGTGCAAACCACACTCTCTGAACTTCCAGGAGGCAATTTTCCCTCCTCTGTGGATTGCAAGACCCAAGGCACAGCAGGCTCTGAGGTCACACGTTCTTTTACTGCTCATGTTCCAAGTGTTGGGGCAGACTCATTGGGAGACACCACGCCATCTCATTGGTGTGTGTGCCCTTAAAATATGGCTCTTCCGGAGAAATAAGGCAATCCACCAAGAATATTAATTATTAGCTTTTGTAAAGTGCAAGCAAAGGAATTAGCTTGAATTTCTTCTGCATGGCTTCAACTTCTGTCTATCACTATAACTGCTCCCATCATTAGCGTCATCATCAGCAGGATCACTGTTTCATTTGGGTGCTTAGGGGGGAGTCGTGGGCAAAGCTTGGGCGTGGTGGGGAGGCGGTGGAAAGCACTATGTGAGGGAGGGAGGTACCTCACACCGCATTTTTCTCCCCTCCCTGACTCTGCAGGCCTCCTTCTCCAATTGAGATCACTAGTTCCTGGTCATTCTTAGCCTAACATCAAGGGCTTGGATTATTAGTACTCTGCCATTATCAGTGTTATAAGCACTCTGGCCAAGAGGGAGAGTTTTTCCAGAGCCAGGGTCTCCCTGGGACCCACAGAAGTGTGGTCACTGTTAGAATTCGCTCTATGTTCACACTGGAGCTGACGGTTCATTTCCTCTATGAAGGGTCAACTTCACGTCAGTGTCTGCTGACAGCAGGCCCTGGACGCTGACCTGTTTGCCTCCTCCAGGCCATGCTAGAAAAGCTTACTCTCTTCTTGCCAGGGTTGAACACACAGTCTGCTGTCGTATTTAGATAACTCCTGCAGGTCCAGCAATAATCGAACAGTCGTGATTCAAATGATTGCTTCTAGTTGTTCTGATCTTATGACAACAACGGATGGTAGAGTAGAGCTATGAGAACTGGCCCCTGCCTGTTACAGCCTCCTCCAGCTTTTGAGGCATGACGAGCGATGCCACATGAGCCCAGAGCACAGATGTCGCCTGACCATGCTCTCGGACTGTTGCACCAAGGAGCTCAGGATTGTCAGGCCCAGATGCAGAGGTCATGTTTCTTCCTTGGTGATCACTGTGTTCGTTTTAAGGTGTCAGCTTTGCCTGGCCCACAGGCCAGGGGTCTGGGACCCCAGGGTTTTCACAGAGGACTGCTGGTTGGAGGGGGAGAAAGCTGCTGAGGGCCTCCCTGACTTGCGTCCCTCTCACTCTGCTCCCTCCAGGAGTGGCCGGGCGGACCTGGCGGCCATATACTATGAGCGCATTGATGTGGAAGGCCACCACTATGGCCCCTCGTCGCCTCAGCGGAAAGACGCCCTGAAGGCCGTGGACACCGTCCTCACGTACATGACCAAGTGGATCCAGGTAACCGGCGACAAGGACCGTGAGGCTGAGCTCCCCTCTTGTCCGTTTCTTCCTGCCTCACTGGCTGTCATAAGCCCTCAGCGTCCTCCTTCTCACTGGTCCTGGCGGACGAGGCCAGCACCAGGCTGGGATGGGGCTCTTTTCTTCACACAACCCCTCCTCAGACACCAGGGGATCCCTTGCTTTACAACCGGCCCAGCAGGACCGAGATGGCCGGATTGGCGTCCTACCTGGCTTGTTAGCCAGCGCAGTTCTTTACCAAACCTAGTAAGTCTGTGAACCAGGTCCACGCGGGAGTGGAGAACAGACCTGGGCTCTGTCCCTGAGCCTGCCACCCCCTTGCCTGCTGACACTCAACAAGGTAAAGCTTTCCTGGGCCTTATTTTCCACGTTTGTGGAATGGGGGAGTGACAGCTCCCGTCGTAGCACACAGGTCTGCTGAAAGAGCCAAAGGAGAGGAGATCAGACAAAGTAGCTCCAAGGGAAACAGCCCAGGAGGGATGATTTCTAGCTCTCCTGGAAAGGGGAGTGTGCTCTCGCATTGCCCCCCTCTGGGTGCTTCTACGGTGACGTCCAGCCGGGCTCATCAGGGCAGAAGAGGAGATGATTCAGTCTCTGAGTGAGGGAGGATCCTTGCCCCCATAACTTCGAGTTTATAAGACCTGCCAGAGTGAGCACGTCTCTGCCGGGTCACTGTCCTGATGGCCTTTGTCCACCCGCAGGAGCGGGAGCTTCAAGAGCACCTCAATGTCATCATCTTCTCAGATCACGGGATGACCGACATTTCCTGGACGGACAAAGTGATCGAGCTGAATAAGTACATCAGCCTCAAGGACGTGCAGCAAGTGAAAGACCGAGGGCCCGTCGTGAGCCTCTGGCCAGCCCCGGGGAAGCACTCTGAGGCAAGAAGCTCCGTGGTGGGAGGGAGAAGAATGGGGGGACGGTCTGGGAGGGGGAGGGGGTGTAACGCGGCCCCTTCCCATGGCTCCGCACTTGATCTTCGCCCTGGTGCGTCAGCGCTGAAGCGGGGATCTGTGCCGGGAGCTGGGCTGCCCAGGGCACGTGACCTACCTCGCGCCCCCTTGACCTCTGCCAAGCTGCCCCTCCTCCCATGTGTGTCTTCTCTTCTCTGAAATGGGTGTGATGGACTCTGCTCCATAGATGTTGGTGGAAATTAAATGAGATAAAGGATGTGCGGTGCTTGGCACGTTAAGCTCTTAGCTGTTAGTAGGGCTGTGTTCTTATTGGCCGAAATGCGGCACTTCCCAGGCAAACCCCGGGGAGAGCGGATGCATGCAGAGAATGCTCTTTGGAGCAAAGCTGCCCATCTGATCTGTTTTCATCAGGGAACTGGAGATACGAAGGTGATGAATGAACAGGGGCTGAGGCTGTGCGTGTCAAAGGTCAGCTCCTTATCTAAGGAGGCTCGCTGCTTGGGTGCAAATCCCCTCCTGATCACGGACCCGTAACCCACGGCTCCCTGACCCAGCCCCTCTGCTTTTCTTCCGAGTCCACGCGGGTGCCGATGCCATCAGAGCTGTCCTCCTGGGCTGCTAGAAACCCACAGAACCATGCTGGACCCACCTCAAGGACGACATATGTGCCACTTATTACAGTGATCACCATTGCAGGGGGGCATTTCCAAGGGGGTGCTCCCCACACACACTGTCCTGCTCAGCACTCTGAGATGGCGAGACGTTTCTCACCCTTCTCTCCAAACCATAATTATCTGCGGTACTTGGCAAATCATGATGAGAAAATAAGGGACAAGCAGCATCTTGGCCTCCTGCTTCACCCCATGTTGCCTTGTCACGTTCTAGGGCAAGCTCTGGGACTTCCACCCGCTCCCAGAGAACACTTTGTGCTCTGGACCAGGAGGTGGGTCACTTCCTTGGGGGAGGCTCAGACTGCTGTCCGTGGCAGTGCCAACCCCAGGGTGCCAGGAACTGGCCTAGGAGCATGATGCCTCCACCCATCCTCATGGCATGGCTGTGGCTGACAGTGGAAGCTCACTGGTATAGATGGGCACAGCCCGCGGGAGGCCAGCGTCTCTCCCCTGGTCCTTTTGACCTCCTCCTGCCCACTCCCATATCAAAGTCTGAGATCTGTCCATTTGGGGTTGGAGCAACACAGTTGCCAACAGTGCCGCTCCTCTCCAGCCTTGTCCCATTTCCTAGGTGGTCGCCCCTTTTTCTCAAGTTCCGTGGTCAGGAAGCGGAGGTGCTGACCATTTGTACAGCAGCTTGCGAAATCCCTCAGTATGCAGCCAGGAGGAATGCTCTACACATTGGCAGGCCCCCCAGAAAATGGCTTCTTGCAAAGAAGTGGTTTCCCTGACGAGGAAGATGATCTCCGTCTCCAGCTTGGCACTCGGGGGATGGGCTGCCTCCGGAGTGCCTGAGCGTCGGCAGTTTAGGAGCTGGAAGAGCTTCTTCCAATGCGACGTTCTAGGCAGGCGGGTTCGAGCCGCCTGAAGCAGTTGGTGGATTATTCCAGAGTGGGGGCTGTGTTTGGGTGACAGTTCATCATGTGAGGGGCACAACAGTTTGTGCGACCCGGTGTGTGTCATCGGATTTTTCACGAATCCGAAATCTGGCTGCAGATGCGTCCCACTTCCCTTAAGAACGATGGATTTTCTCAAGTAGGAAATCATCACTCATGGGGTCATCAGAAACGCTCTGCTTTAAGCCTCAAGGCTAATTATTCTCCAGAAGTGAGCTGAAAAGCTCAATTTTATATTCGCCTCCACCCAGAAAGATGGGTGTCCTTAGACTAAGGGCCAATGAGTCAACATCAAGCCATTGATTTCAATGCCAGTGATAAATATTTAAGCGGCTGGTAGATATTGGAAATATATGCAGAGTTTACACCCCTCATCATGAAATTAGCAGTGTAATGAAGGGCAGACAGATGACTAATAATTTTAAGATTCAGGTGTAGATAAGATGTGCTCTAGGTCAAGTCAAAGGACAAATCCCCTTTCTTTGATCTTAGTTACATTTAACATTAGGCAGACCAATTCCTCATTTGCCTTTTTTTTTAAGATTTTATTTACTTATTTGACACACAGAGAGAGATCACAAGTAGGCAGAGAGGCAGACAGAGTGAGAGAGAGAGAGGAGGAAGCAGACTCCCTGCTGAGCAGAGAGCCCGACTCGGGACTCGATCCCAGGATCCTGAGACCATGACCCGAGCTGAAGACAGAGGCTTAACCCACTGAGCCACCCAGGCACCCCCTCATTTGCCTTTTAATTTTATTATAGAGTTTTTGACATAGACAAGCTTTTGTAATTTGTTTATTAACTGTTGAGTAGGCAAATTATTATATAATATTGAAAAGTATTAAGTTATCATTTCCATAATTCTCCTTATAGTTTTACTGCATATGTTCTTTAGTTTTATAGTTATTCAAACCTCAAATAATAATAATAATAATCCTGTCTGTATTCTTCTGCAACTTGCTTCATTCTGTCTTCTCAAACTGAGATTCCTGAGATGATGGCAGGTGCCCCGTGGAGCTGTAATCTGTCCCTGTTCGTTGCTGTATAGTATTTTCCCCAGAGAACCTCATGAGTCATTTCTGCCTTCCATGGTTGCTGGGCATTTGGGCTGTTCCCATCTGCAGTCTATGTCCCTCTCTGTGTCTCCCGGTGCATGAGTGTGAAGGGTTCTTGCTAGGTCCCTCGTGGCTAACTGTTTAGGTCACAGGATGTGTGGATCTTCAGCCCACCTTATTTTCTGAGACATACAGAAGTTCCTCATTCTTATGTACTCAAACGTATCAGGTGCTTTGGTCATTTCTTTGGTCTGTAAAGTTGTCCCTCTCTTCCATGTGCTGTAAATATTCACATATGGTTAAGAAAGAGAATGCCAACTGCTGACTCTTGTTCTCTCTGCAGATATATGACAGACTGAGAACAGTGGAACACATGACTGTCTACGAGAAAGAAGCCATACCGAGCAGGTTCTACTACAAGAAAGGGAAATTTGTCTCTCCTTTGACCTTAGTGGCTGACGAAGGATGGTTCATAACTGAGGTAATTATAAAATCACCACAATATGTTCATTATACAAATTCTGTCAAACACCCAAAGGTAAATAATTACTCGGCTTTTGCACGTTAAAGATTTTGTTTTCACTTAAATGCCCTTCATGGCCTTACTCCCATCTTTAGAGGCCCAAGTCGCCTTGATCTAGTGACTTTGTAGACACACAACTGCAGATGTGGACCCAGAGCCACTGTTCAGACTTCGTGGCTCCAGACTCATTATATTTTGACAAACTGCCCTTAACTCAATTACCCAGGCTTACAATGTAACCGATGCAGTTTAAAGTGCAACAATTACCATGAACCAAAGCCATTGCTTCAGGGCAGTGGAAATCCAGGAGATGCTCAGCTTTGCTTTCACCTTTAAGAGAAATGTGTGGCAAACACAAGTGCAGAGATCCAGGTTCCCCACTGGATTTTGTAGAGGAGATTACCTTGCGTTTGGGCTCCAAACCTCATTGCCTCACACAAAAGGGACTTCAGCAGCTCCAGCCTGCCTGCCTTGATGGCCAGCTCAGTGGGCTCTCTGATCAACCTCGGATTGCAGGCTGGTGTGCCCCGCCCCGGCCTTCAGGGGAACCGGGGTCAAGGCTGATCTAGAATCAGTACCCAGAGAGGGTGTGGCTTATCCTCGCCGAGTCTGGAGACCGCTCTCAAACAGACCAGCCTGCAGGGTGAAAGAGAATGCCAGGTATTGGCACCTGGGGGTCGTTGGACGCCGATGAGATCTAAGGCCTAGGACTAGCATTTATCTGCCAGAGAGAGGATCAGCAGAAACGCCGATCAGGCAAATGGATGGAAGTCTAGGGACCTAGGTGTGGAAAAATGAATGTTCCTTGACGTGAAATCGGGTCATTGAGGAGGACTGAGTCATTCCTGCGTGCTCGCAAAGAGGAGCATCTGGTCACCAAGGAAACAGAATAGACCCGGACAGAGCTGTCAGTCCGCGCAGTCCTGAGACCCAGCGGGGCCCACCGAATCAGCGGACTTCGGCTTCCACACCATGTGAGCGTAAATTTCCATGAAGGTCCCTCTGCCTCCTCATGCTTCTTTCTTCATTCTAGCACACCGTTTGATGTTTTCCCGGGGTGAGATTATTCTGGGTTCCCAGGATTTTCATGCACAGTGGTTTGCTCACAGCTTTGCACGAACACACGGGCAGTCGATTATGTCACCTGGCTAGGTGTATACACCGCTGTGTTCCGGAAAGCCAGCTTTCCCAAGTCACTCAACAGGGCTTGCATTTTGTAAGTTTCTCAGTTTAGGAAATTCTGGTTGAAAGACTTTGACTTGTTCAAAGCAAAGAGGTGATGAAGGTCAGTCTGGGTAGCTGGCACTCATTTCTTAGGATGATTATGTGCCTCTCCTGTTTCCTTTCTTATATTTAGCTGAAATCAAGTGCACTGAGAAGCTGGTTCATGGTAGGAAGGGGCGATTGAGGTGATTTGGAGTAATTTATGGGAAAGCCGTCTTAGATGGGAAGAGTGGCAAAGCCAAAGACACGGCACAACTAATGAGATGCCATCTCCGTTCCAGTAGGAGAGGCCCCAGAGCCTCCAGTAGGGTGGGATGAGCACCGGGAAAGCTGCTCTAGCTTTGAGTGCTTTTTGGAAGGTAAGAGTCTTAGCAGTAGCACATCCAGCAAGGAGATGCGTATTTTTCCAGGGAGTGACTAAAACACAGTAGCGGAGGATCTGGAGGTATCAGCAAGATGCTCCTCATTATAATTCGTTTTCACTTGAATACATGTGCCTTAAATAATGAAGACTTATTACCTTATAAAACTAGAAGTCAACCAGCAGCTCAATCATATCAGTCATATCAAGACCCCGAGTCAGCTCTTCTGCCATTCTTTTGGCTTTCTCTTCAGGGTCGCAAGATGGCTGCTGCAGCCCCAAGCATCACATCCCTTCAGGTCATCCCAAACAGAAAAGAAAGGGTATGGCTTCTTCTTGTATGTCTCTTAGTTTTATTGGGGAGCAAAAAATATAACCCCAGAATCAGAGGCCGATACTAGTTTCATGGAACTCTGACAATTATAAAATTTGAAAAGAATATGTAATTATGAGTGTAAAATTAGGTGTAAGGGGGTGCCTGTGGCTCAGTGGGTTGAGCCTCTGCCTTCGGCTCAGGTCATGATCTCAGGGTCCTGGGATTGAGCCCCACATCGGGCTCTCTGCTCAGCAGGGAGCCTGCTTCCCCATCTCTCTCTCTGCCTCTCTGCCTACTTGTGATCTCTGTCAAATAAATAAATAAAATCTAAAAAATATATTTAAAAAATTAGGTGTAGGGACTCAGAAGAAATGCATGAGAGTGAGAAGCCCTGATGATTAAGCTTCTCTAACTGCACCATTCGTTAATCCACTTCTGCCCAGACCCCAGTAGCAAGCCTCCTCACAGGTTTCATCCAGAAACAGCAGTTTCTAACAGTTTCTAGCAGTGTGGCTAGAAAATTCCTACCTCAAGTCCACTTCGGTCCTAAGTTCTAGCACTATGCTGCAATGTGGACCGACCCGCGGCCACAGTCACAAGACAAAGGTGATATAGAGGCTGCGGAATGAGGCACACAAGGTCCCTGAAACCTAGGTACAAAGAAGAGGAGTGAGAGGAGAATGAGGACAAACGTGCTGGCGGCAGCCCACTCACAGAGCCCAGTGACAGAGCCGATGGGGCCCCATTGCTGCCTCCCTGACCTCCCAGCGCCCCTCCCCTCTGCACTGAGGGTCCACGCACCTGCTGTTTTGCAGGAAGCTTGCCGACCAGTGTGTCTTCTGAAAGCCAGCCCGTACTGTATTATATACTATGTTACCTTATATTACTTTTGTAATTACACAATGCATATACACATGTTTGTGTGAATCAGAACTAAGTCAGGGGCTACCCGGTTAACTGTATGGCTTCAGAAGCAGGGGAGAAGCCACCAGAACAGAAAGGAAGAATGTCTAACAGCTGATGATTACTTGAAAAGCTTTTAAAAAATATATAATTATTTCAAAAAGGAAATTTGGGGTGATTTTTTAAATATTTGAAGCAGAAAGTGGTTTTGGTTTTAAAGAAAGAACCCAGAAGGAAGATCAATAAGATGTGAAAAAATAAGATTCTGAAAGGTTTAGTGTTGACCCATTAAATATCAGGACTATCAGTGTTATTACCTCTTCCCGCTTTAATTACTGACGGGTGTTATAGAACAAATCTTTTTTGATCATTACTGGTTCATTAGAAGCTTTACAATGACTCCTCCCCCACAGTTTCAATGACATGAACATAAAGTCATTTTCCCTTCTGCAGGTAATAAATCCAATAGGAAAAATTTCTTCTTAAAATTTTGGGCAATGACAACAATAACAGCTATTTTGAATAAATTTCCCCTCCCCCCCTTACTGTTTCTGTTCCTTTCAGTGACTCTGCATGGAGGATATTGTTAGTCCTGAAAGTAGCACACCACAACATAACACAGAACACAAATATGGTTCTGAGCTTCCTAGCAGCCAGTTCAAAGAAGGAAGCACAGTCAGTGACATTAATGTAACTTAGAGGGTCGTCACATAACGACACAAATGTTTCTCTGAAAAATTCTAGTTGTCCCTGAGTCCCAAGAGAAATTAGCTGTCTTTCAGCCACTCCTTTTTGTACCTTAGTTTCCTAGACTGAATGAATATCTTTATCCTTTGACTCCTGTCCTTGAATTCATGGACTTTTTTTTTCAAGACTCACAGGTAAAAATTATAATTTCAGATTATACCTTGATAGAACATGGAGTTTTATCTCTTTGTCTTCTGAAAAATCCTAGAGACAAGTGTCCATTTCTTTCTTGTTGCCTTGGTCTTTTTTCTTTTGCATCTTTCTGTTGGTCATTATACTTACATGACGCAGAGAATCGAGAACCCTGCTCACCATCTTTGCTCCCACTTTGAGCTGGGCTCTCCGTCTCCCCCCATGGCTGTTTGCAGAGTCTCTCCCCAGCGGTAGAAGAAGGCTGTGTTTTGCTCCATGACCTGCACAGCAGCGTGCAGCACATGTGAGGTTGTTTCTGTCCTGGACCGTACTTGGGGGCTGCAGCAGGGGCCAACTTCTCAGGCCTGAAAGCAATCTCTCCGGGTCTGGGTTTGAGCAGCTGAGGCTTTCTTTCTGAGTTAGACGTGATTAGAAACACAGCTGAGTCAGGACAAATTGGTGCTGGTTGGGGCCAACAAAAGAATCCCATCTCCCTTTCCTTTCCCCCTACAGCCACCATTCAGCAACAGGCAAGACTCGGCTTCCTTGGCAACGATGCGGTTCCCATCTAAACACCAACTTTTTGCTCCTGCTTTACATTTTGCAGACTCTAAGCCTTGCTGCTCTACTGGGAACACTTAATTGAATTCATTTTTTTTTTAAACGGTCCCTAAGAGAGCTGTCACCGAAAAAGATAAAGACAAGGAAGCAGGTTGAGCCGGTCACCTGGCATCGCACATTTCCCCGCGTGGCCGCTGTTGCTGCCGCAGGAAAGCTGAAAGCCGGCTCCGGCCAGCAGCTCCCCGCAGCTTGCTTCTGCTCCTGCGCTCTTTAGTGTATGGACTGGCTTGCCACCCACTGCCACCCCTGGCCCTGGCGCTCCCCCTGCAAGGGCAGCGATCTGAGGAATCCGTGTTCCCAGAGGACGGACCACACACGAAGGGTGGGAACACCCAGGCCACCCACCTAGGTCAAGCCCCGGCCTGGCACACCTGCCAGGCTCCTTTCTTCAAAACGGCTGCCCCCGCCCTCCCTGTCTCCCTGAGACCTGGTTGCTGTGGGAACCTCTTTGCTTGTGCTTGCCAGGGGTCAAGGGCCACACTCTTCACCAGCCACCCCACTCCCCTGTCCTCTCCCGAGGTTTCCCTCACCCCTGCTCTACCCGCTCCCTCCTCCAGGGGCATCTGCAGTGGGGCTAGACATGGTTTCATCCCGATGTGGTGGTCCAAAGGCCCTCAGGAGGCAGGCCCCACGTGTCCTAGGCATATGGGATGG